TAAGTAAGTGAAAGATTTTCATCTTGAAAGTCCTGAGTTATTTCAAAACTGTTTATTTTGATTGAACTTGACTGTTGACTGTGAATGAGAAAGAGAGTTTTGAGCACAAAACCTACTAGCTGTTGCTTTGCATAATTTGACAGACCACAGCTTCTGCAAATTAGTCACATGTGTACGTGGAAGCTTTCTGATTAATAAAGTCACAGACTACCCTAGCTACTCATAGGAGAGTGCACTTTTTGCTTCTGGATCAGCAGCACCTTCTTTGGCATAAGAATTGTTTGCCAAGGTGCAAATGCAAAAATGTTCATGTGTCATACTACTCATTAGCTGTCCAATTTATACTGGATATTTCAATAATATTGAAATAGCGTTATAATAGTATCACTCACCTACTGGTAGAGTGGGACAAAACAAAGAAGGTCACATCTGTGATTACTGAGGACTATTTTTTTACATTACCCTTATCCTGAAAAGAAGAAGCATAAGGAGGGAGTTGGGGCACTTGAACAGCCTTGATTTTAAGGCCATGTCTCAGTAACTCTGTCTTTTCTGTCTCAATGAAGTGCTTTTCATTATTCTCAGAGGTACGTCATATTATTTTCATTATAACTCAGAGGAGATGTTGAATACCTTTACCAGACTAGTTGTGAAACATTGTTCTCCCAGTATAAAACATTGCTCTTCTAAATAGCTGTTTGATTGTCACATCTTAAGGTGATATGCAGAAAGAAAATTGGTTTTATGATCTGGTTGTCCCTGAAAAGCCTTCTACAGCTGGAGGACGACTTGGTAGCTTACTGAGTGGACACTTAATGTGCAGATATTTGCAAAAGAGACTGTAAGACAGGCCTACTGTTCTGTTCCTTGCATTAAAAATATGGAAGTTCCAAAAGTTTTCAGCATTGAAAATCTGTCTAGGTGCTGTGCATTAATTTCAGACAGTCTTCAGCTGTAAACATATGAGTGTCAGGTAAGGGATGTCAGTTCCTATGTGCAGAAACCTGATGTAAGGGATAGGTGGAATACAATGTACACTTGACAAGTGATATCCTTCTTCAGACTGTTACTGTTTCAACTTTTCAGACCTGAATCTTCTAACCTGCGCATAGATCCTGAATTGAATTGTAAAGAAACCAACCTTAATTGAAACCAGAGATTCATAAGCAACTTTATTTATTGGAAATCTATAATAAAGGGCCACACAGTATTTGTATTACACATAATTGTTAAGGAAAATATCTCTTTTAAATAACACTTAAAATCTTGTGTTCTTCTGGGCAGTGATTCTTTTCAGGAGGATTTGAATTGAATTCCCCTTTCAACTCAGACTGTTTTCTTGGTGGTAGAAAAAACTGTCCTAGAAAGAGGCTGTTTTTTCCTAATAAGTTTGGGAAATTGATATTTCAGTCCAGCATCCTCTTTGAAAGATAAATCTTGATTTCCCAAGAAATGTACAGCACAAAGCTTCATGCTGTCCTTTGACAGTACTCCTTTGTGATTCTATTTTGAAAGGGAATCTTCAGCATTCAGGAATGGTTAATCTAACCTAAAGAGCGGATGCATTTGGGATTCCCTCTCTGAATTTTTATCTGATCCAAGTATCAAAAACCTCGTATTTTTTTCCATGTATATAAAAAGTCTTATTGCCCTGTGGGAAGTGAATGTGTGGCTTAGAGATTAGAGCACTGGATAAATATGAAAATTATATATGCATTGATAATTGAAAAGACAATAGAAGAAAGATCAACAGTTTAAAAAACCTTTTCACAAAGTTTTAGAATTTGTGATTCTCCAGAATAAATGGACTTTCATTCAGGCTTAGTCACTGTTGTCCAAAAGGCGGGTAAACAACCAGACAAGTTAGTACAATGAAGCTTCCTTTCAGGTTTCTGTTGATTTCATTAGCAGTGTACTAGGGAGTCAGGCAAACCCAAACTAATTTTCAGTAATTCTTCCACTCCCTTTAGGGTCTTTGGATTCAGACTCTTGATGAGAAATGCTTGTCAATTTCCAGTCCACACCAATGTTAGTGGTATACATAAGGCTAACAGTGGTACTGTGTTCCCTGTCTCTCAGTAGCAAGCCTAATTCCTGTGTTTTGCTGATAGGAGACTGTTGTTCTTGTGTCGCTGTCAAGGCAGTCACGACACAAAGTAGAGACCACAAGCAGTCTCAGATGGCAACCCTTTATTATTGAACATGGCTGACTTTTTATACACTTTCTAATCATTTATGCTTCTTCTTCCTTAACTGTTGGCTACAATAAATCAATGTAACACCATTGATAAAAAGTTACAGTGACTTCAACTAACTTTTTAAAAATACTTCGTCTAGCTACCTTATCTTTCTTCAATTCCTTTCTTCTCTCCATCTCCTTATTTACAGCCTTGGAGAGAGCTCCTTATCAGTTTCTTCTTGCTTCTTCTCGCTCCTTTAGCTAACAAGCCCACTGTTAGCCCTTTCCACATTCTTGCCTGATCTGCTGCAGTATTTTTTGTAGCTCTTGCTGTGCAGTATGTAAAGCAGCATGTACACCGTGCTTCCACTTCTTCTCCTAACACAGTCAAAAAGGAAACTCTCCATTCTACTGTCTTTTCCAATTCACTGTTCCTTCTGTTCCAAGTAAAAGAGGAAAATTCTTCATTATAAATACTGTGCAGAAAATAAAGCTCCAAAACTGTTGAATACATTTTGTTTTTCTACAACTTCTCAGTGTGATCACTGATGGGGTATGGTAGATCATTTTGATATTGTGTCACCACTGTAACTGTAGCCTGGGTGTTCTGTGTGTTAGAAGAAAAGATTCCCCCACCACTGTACAGGGAATGTGCATGAAGTAGAGGATGAAATGGGGAAGGTTAGGAAACAACAAAGCAAACTTTTTAGCCTGTCTTTATTAGTGCGGAGGGTTGATAATTTTTATTCTGTGCCCCACAGTTGTATTTAGGCTCTAGTTCAGCTGTGCTGTAAATGCTAAGCTTTCAGCTACTTACTAACACCTATGGTAAAAGCACTACAAGAGTCTGTAAGTTTGTTTTTGTGTTTTTCTTCTATAAGCACTTGAATAGTCACATAACTTCGGAAGTGGAAGATGAATACTATGGAGGTTGAAAAAATTCACAGCAAAAATTACTTTAATTTCCTGGTGCAAACGTACTGGAAATAGGTTTGAACATACTGATTAGATATACATATACATCTACAGCTGGAGACAAACCTGCTTTGTTTGCTATGTGGCATGGACTATGAATTCCAGGCCAAGTGACCTGAAACATCATCAGAATGATATAGTCATGCTTTTAAAGTAAAGTCTCATCCTGTGTTCCTGCTAATATCTAAAACCACCTACGGTTTGTTTTCTGTGGCTCAGAGTTAGAGCAGCATTTCAAAGTAATTTCTGTAGGTTGTTTCCTTTGAGGGGAAGAGTGAAGAGCAACTGGGATTTTTTCAGGCTTAGACTCTCTTTTATATGACTTGATAGTATTTATTCTTCTTCTATGATAACAACTCTGGTAGTGTAAAAATGTTGTGTGAAAAGAGAGGAAGGTGGGAAGGGAAGGATTTCTAGCTGCTTAACTGTGGGGATGATTAGGAAGGTGTCAGCATTACTGGAAAGCATTGATGACAACTTTCTGACACAAGCAGTGGAGGATCCCATTAGGAGTGGTGCGCTCCTCAGCCTTATGCTAACAAACAGGTAATGAATGCCTTGTTGAAGGTGTGAAGGTTGAGGGCAGCCTTGATGTAATGACTGTTGTGGAATTCAGTAGTGGGCAATAAGGAAACAGGACAGTAAGACTGTAATCATGGATTTCAGGAGATCTAACTTTAACCTCAAAAGGTCTTCTTGAAAAAATCCTGTGGGAACAGATCGTGCAGTGAAGAAGAGGGTTCCAAGGGAGCTGATTGATATTCAAGGATCACTTCCTCCACAGTCAAGAATGATGCATCCTGATGAGTGAGAAATCAGGCAAAGGGGAAAGAGATCTGTGTGGATGAATTAAGAACTGTCATTACTTAAGTGTGACCAGGAAACACACAGGAGATGGAAGCAGGATCAGGCCACTTAGAATTAATATAGAGAGGTAGGTTGTCAGAGTAAGGAGAAATGAGACAGGAAAGTTAAACAAAGACAAGTGCTGGGTTCTGCACCTGGGATGGGGCAACCCTCAGTCTACAGGCTGGGGAATAAGAGGCTGGAAAACTATGCCATGGGAAGAGATCTGGGGGTCCTGATCAATGGCAAGTTGAGCATGAGTCAGCAGTGCCCTGGCAGCCAGGAGGGCCACCCGAGTCCTGGGGGACATCAGGCACAGCATCACCAGCCAGGCAAGGGAGGGGATTGTCCTGCTCTGCTCTGCACTGGGGCAGTCTCCCCTCGAGTGCTGGGAACAGTTTTGGATGCCATAATATAAAAATGATTAAGCTATTGGAAAGGGTCCCAAAAAGGGCTACAAAGATGGTGAATGGCCTTGAGGGGAAGCCGTATGAGGAGCAGCTGAGGTCACTTGGTCTGTTCAGCCTGGAGGTGACTGAGGTGAGACATCACTGAGGCCTTCAATTTCCTCACGAGAGGAAGTGTAGGGGCAGGTACCAATCTCTTCTCTCTTGTGACCAGTGACAGAATTCAAGGGAATGGCATGAAGCTGAGCCAAGGGAGGTTTAGATTGGATATTAGAAGGCTTTTCACCCAGAGGGTGGTTGGGTACTGGAGCAGGCTCCCCAGGGCAGTGGTCACAGCACCAAGCATGACAGAGTTCAAGAAGTGTCTGGACAATGCTCTCAGGCACGTGGTGTGTTCTGTGCAGGACCAGGAGTTGGACTTCAGTGATATCTGGGAGTCCCTTTCTATGATTCTGTGAATTCTAAATCTTCCATTGTTTGTCTAGGAACTTAAAAAAAAATTGATGTGCTGAGCATCAAAAAACTTAGAACTGGTAAATACTGAATGGAACTAAACCCAGCTTTAACTGACAGGATGTGTGTTCTCTTAATAGAATCTGGTTCTGCAATTACGGCTTCCTGCATTGGTTTGGGGAACTCTACAACACCTCCACCCGGACAGGCGGGAAAACCGGTGCCAGGATATAATGGTAAGACTGTGCTAAAAATGTTACTAGGAAAGAGCATTGCTTATATTCCTGAGTAAGTGCTCCTTAATAGTCATATCTTGTAGTAAAAGAAAATTACAGTCTTACTAAGATATTTTCCTCCTTCCTGCTTTCTTGTGTGTTGTAGAATGTGATTGTGAATAAAAAATTCAGAGTAATCGTCAGGAAAATTGATCAACTACTTCTGCCTTTATTATATGAAAAGGCTAGCACATACTTTGACACATTATGTCTCTATGCTTCTACATGCACTACTGCACCTCTACACAACTTGAGAGGGTTGTTAAGCAAACTGTCTTTCAGTATCTGTGGAGCATTTTTATTTCTAGCCAGGAGAAATGGTAGGCTATGGACGAGCACAAAAAGAATGAGAACTCATCGTCAGGAAGGTATTTGCATGTACGGGTGCAGCTACAGGATTAAGAATGCAGAAGTATTTTAATACCTGGGAACCCTGATTTTAACACATTTTTAAAGAGTTACTTGAAATCTGAAAAATAATTACATTAAAGATCAAGTGGTCTTCAGAAAAAATTCTCACATCATTGGTCAAAAAGATCTAAGCTGTTATTTACCTTTATACATGTAAGTGGTGGTGAGCATTAAAAATCCTCAAATATTTTTAACAGCTCTTGGTTTTGACACTTAAAGTTATGGCATGAAGATGAGCAATAGCTTAAAAACAACATTGAAACAAAGCCATGAAGTTTCTCCAGAATTCTGATAAGTAGGAAAGGATGAAAGAATGTAATTGCATCACACATGTTATCACATGATAGTTGGGACTAGGAAGAAATATGAGTAACAAGAAGATAAAAATTTCTGATGAATATTTTGGAACATTGGGACTAGTGTAAGTAAAGATTTTCTTCAAAGAGAATGATGGAAATGTCTTTAGCAAACCATATAAAGGAAACAAAAAAATAAGCACTGAAATTCACTAAAGATTTATGGAATAATTTTACTTCTTTCAGTCTTTGACCAAATATGTCCTGTAATTCAGTTATTCACAAACTAGTGATTTTTTAAAAAATTACTCTATTTTGGCTGCTGTCTTGCTGTCATCCACTTCTCTTTGGTGTTGTTTTCCTGCTGTTACTATACTTATTAGAGGACATCCTTATGCCAGTTAGAAGATACTGTGGTTTTAGTTTATATATGCAACTCTAAATGGCTGGTAAAGATATGCTGCATTATAAAGGAAGTTGCAAGATCCACTTTTATTTTTTTTTAACATGTACAGATTCTTTCCTATTACATATTGCTAAAAAGAAAGTGATTTGTTGCTGATTTTTAGGGAGAGAGGGAATAAAAGTTGCAATATCAAAGTATAGTGGCACAAATTGCATTTAAAAGTGAGTCAAGATAAAATATTAATTTCTAGGTCTGTTGCCTTTAATCACACATTATACTGTGGTTTTCCCTTGATCTACTTGAACCTTAGCAGTAATTGCAGTGCATTTTCAGACTGAAGCAGGTCCCACATTTTGAAGAAACAAGTCAGTTCTTCAGTAATTCAGGAGTGAGCAACATATTATCTCACTTCTCCAAATTTTTCTGCATTGAAATATGTAGCTTGCAAGGAGAAGATTAAATACTGGGATTGGTGCCTTGATGAAACAGTTAGTGTTTAGATTAGATTAGATTTTAATCTAAACTGATTAGATTAGACTAGATTTTAATCTAAACTGATTAGATTTTACTTAGTGTTATAAAAATAGGAGAGAAAACACTGACAGCTACACCAGCGGGTCTGTGTAAAACTGGCCTTGTGTACTTGCTTGTGTCTGTGTGTGGAGCCATTGCTTCTAGCAGTCTCTTCTGTTACTTTAAAATTACCATCACCTTTGAAGGAGTAGCTTCAGCCAGAAGGAGTAAATTACAGATGGTGCTCTTTGAAGAGATAGGATATAATATTACTCATATATGTTTTAGCAGAGCTTTAGTCACAAATCTGTCATTTACTTTTCCCCATTTCCTCTGGAACTTTGTAATAGAGGATATAAGATTATTTGTAGAGATTTAGATACAGCTGAACATTGCTTTCATTGCTTGGGCAGGCTTCAAAAAGCTTGTAATTCTTATCAGCCCAGTCTGTAAGACTCTTACCTCCTTGTTTTTCTATGGTTTAGTGGCTTCACCTTATGTAATTTTGTTATCATAGGCCAAGGTGGTATCTGTCATTCCTTTCTTATGCCCACACCTTGAGAAGGAATGGATGGTTGTAGTAGCTTCATTTCCCAGATAACTACCCAAAAGAGGCTATTTCAGATGATTTCCTCAGAAATCTCAATATCAGGATATGATGCTTTCACTGAAAGTGGTGGACCCCTGTCATCCAGGGAAAAGGCTTCATTTGGGAAGTCTGGATTCTGTCCTGTATTTTGAGCATTACCCTGCTGTGCAACTTTGGGTACTTGGAGAGTTTCTTGGTCTCTTTATGCTAGACTACAATGAGCCTTGTTAGCTGAAGAACATTTTTCTGAGACTTCTGAAAGCCTTTGAAAACCAGATTTACTTATTTACTGCTAATAGCATTTCACGTGAACTGGGTCAGGCTTCAGTCATCTTGGTTGTTATTTCTTGCTCATGTCACCCACATATTTTTTATTTATATTTGTCATGTATCTTAATGGTTCTTTGCTGTGTAGAAGTTTAGATTTTCCAGTATGAAAGCTTCTTTTACTTTTTAGTTCTGTGTTTTTCCCTTTTCAGACTTCGTGCTATTTCTGCTTCCAAAGGACAAGTGTTATTTAAGACTTTTTTACTTAAGGCTGAATGTTAATAAAGTCATCAGATTATCCAGTTTGGCACTGACAAATTACTTAATTCTTTCTGTTGCTTGGCGTATTGACGTTCTGAAGTGTGACATAGGTTGATATCCATAAAGACATTTACCTTCTCCTAAAAATATACTACTAAACTTGAGTTTCCTTCCTATATTATTTTTTTACAGTCATGATTCTGGATGAAAATAAGAAACCAGTGAAGGCAAAGACTTTGGGAAATATTGTGGTAAAGTAAGAAAAATAAATATCATACAGTTAAAAGAAACTTCCTACATGGGTTGTTTGTCTTTTGACTAAAGTTAATAATTGAAGTAATGAGAATTGAAAAGCATGTCTGTCTATCTCTGATACTGATAGTGAACTCCCTGAATGTTTTATGTTCATTAATGTTGAAAAATTGCAGACAAAGTTGTGTGAATGAATGAGTTTTTCTTAGACTACAGCAAAGTTTACCATTTTCTAAATTATCAGTGTGTTGGCACAGAATGATGCCTTCCTCTTTTAATGTATGGGCAAAATACTGAATAACTCCCTTCATTATTTTATCTTTCCATTTAGTGAAATAGTACAGCAATACAGATTGGCATGCTTCAGCTTACAGGCATGATGCTGCCTCTTCTTTCATGCTCTCCTAATCCCAACTGATGCACCTTCTTAGAGGGAGACCATGTATTTTCAGTTCTCTGTAAAAAAAAAAAAAATAGCAAGATGTTCCTGTGTGTGCTTTGCATGAAAGAGTGTTCATTTCGACCAGTACTTGGACAAAATACATGCAGGAAAGGACTCAAGGAAAAAAAAAAGAAAAAACCCTGCTGTGCATCATGTAGGTGATTTTTAGTACCATTTACCAGACTCCTGACAGATCAGTTCCATAAACTCTAATATTCTTTTTGAAAGTACACCTTTCTAAGGCACATTTCCTTACATAAAAAAGCCTCTGTTTAGATCACCCTGTGAACATCAGTTACATTTATCTTTCCTGCTGCCTTCTCACTGTTGCCAGGATCTTTCCTTACTCCTGTAGCATTCTATGGGCTAGTGCTCTTTACAGCCCTTGCCAGCTCTGTATTCTGGATGTTTTACAGGCTTTCAGGCAAATGGCATTTACCTCAAACAGTTTTTTTTCCTTTGCGAGAGACACCTGCTTTGTGGTGAATGTGGTATCTGTACCCACCTTTTTTTCAGTCACAGAAAATAACTTCAGCCCTGAACACTTCTAAGTGTGAGCAAATACAAGTCCCAAAGGAAATGTATTCATCCATTTCTTCTGTGATAGATTTTTGGAGAGTTGTGGTAGCTCAGAGTCTTCACTGCTTGCTTAGACGAGCGAAAGGAAATGCGAATATTAGTATTAACATTCAGTGAACTGAAAATCTGTCAAAAGCTGAAGCATTGGGATGGATGAAGCATTCAACAATTCTGTTGAATTGTTAGCACAGTTAGCTGAGGGTTGCAGTTGGCTGGGGCACACGAGCTGGGGGTGAGAGACAGGAGATGCCGCGCCGGAGCTGCAGACGTGCAGCGCCAACAGTGTGGGTTGGCGGGCGCACTGCTTGTGTGGGAGGTGGAGGTGCCGAGGTGGGGAGGCTTTTCACTCAGCTGTACGACTAATCTTATGTAACTAGACCCTGTGGAGACTGAAGCAGTATCACATGAACTTACTGTACTGTGTGATGCAGATATGTTTTCAGGATGAAGTCTATACCCTGCCTCGTTCTCAGCATCTTCAGCTGAGCCACCAGGACACAGATGTATGGGTTTAACTACCCCGAGTCAGCGGACTCATATTTAGGTGTAGTGTTCTTGAGGCACATATAAGACTATGCATTCACTCCATTGTTGAGTATGTACATTCATACCAAGCACAAGTACTTAAAATCGCTCCAACCTTTGGTTTGAAACTTTGGTTCACAGTATCAGTAACCCAGCTCAGGGTGGAAAACTGTCTTTCAATGCTCTCACCTCTGTAGTGCCTGAAGCCATAATAAAACACGGGATTGTAATCAATTGAGGCAGAAAAGGTATTTTGTAAGAAAATTGATCCTAGCTGCTTAGATATTCAGATTAGTTATTCAACTAGGATAGAATAAATCCCCTTCCAGTACCTGCAGGAGTGGCACAGTTGGCTTAGGGTAGGTACTTAGCCTTATCTAGCAAAAGAGGAATGGAATGAACTCCATCTTTAGCAACTCTGCCAAACAAGACTAAGTAAAGACAGACTAACAGGTAACATTGGAATATGTGCACATACGTAGTTGAGTTTTACTATCTTTAAGTGCCTGTCAGAAGTGATATTGCCATATTGAAAGATTCTGTTTAGGGTTAATGTCTACCTCTTCTAGCCAGAATTTATCTTCCCTAATGTTGCTTCATTGTAGTTGTTTTCTCAAGGGATTACAAATGTGTTAATATATTGATTAGTTGTTGTTTCATTTGTTTTATCTTGCTCAGCATGACTTTTGCTGCAATCAAATGAATTGATAATGAAAAGAGGGAGGGTTTTTTGTTTGTCTTTGGTTTTTATTTGCAGCGTATCACTCAAGAAAGTGTAATCCCACAGGGATACTATTATTTTATCATGTCTGTGTTTATTGTATTGTTTGTTTTATTTTTTTATTAAAGCAAGGTTTCATGAAGTCCTCCTTCAAATAAGGCATTTCTCTCTTCAGCAGTCTTCTACATGTACAGACCCTTTAAAGTAGAGGAGATTACCCTTGTTACTAACAGTGTTGGTTTGTCAGCCCAGAGCATGTTCCCCTGCAGCTGGAGGAAAATGGGGGACTCAGGATAGTTCTGACTATTATTCTGTCATACAGCCTAGTAAAATATGAAAAAAAGCACAGGGATTTGCTTCACCTGTAGCATAAGTGAGTTGAGAAATATTCTTAAGTACTTCTTGTAGAGGAGAGTGGCCATGCAACGACAGCTGTGCAGAAGGGGTAAACTGCTGCTCTTGGTTGTTTTTATCCCAGACTAACTCCTGGTAAAGACTATTTCAGGCTGCTTGAGGCCTGCAGTTTTCCTAAGTACACTATTTAAAATATCTATGCTTACAGCAGAGCTTTAAATTTTAATTTCATCCTGCAGGAGTCAAATACTCTAGAAAGGTAGTTCTTACATCTAATTTCTCCAACTTGCTGCCCCAAGTATGTTCTTTTCTTTACTTTTCTGCCAACTGATATCTGTTCTGTTTGTTTGTTTTTTGTTTTTGTTTTTTTTTTTTCCAATATAACCATCATCTCTGCCCTTTGAATGAATTATTCTTGGGTAAAAACACTCATAGATACTAGTTTACCTGGACAATGCAATAATATTTCTGATTTCACAAGTCTTTCAGGATAAAATAAAGGGAAAATAAAGGTAACTGCAGATTATGAGGGTGGGCTTGTATGAATTGTATTTAAATTTATATGTATTTTTTTCTGAGCTAGAATTTTTGGACATGAAAGATTCTGAGAATTTATTCTGAAGTGAAAATTATAGCAGCAGTGACTTCCATTTCCATTAGCAAGACCAGTCTGGTTTAGTGACACACTTCTGTTTGCATTGCTGTGGCCTGCCTGTAATTAATGCACACTTGAAAATATATACTTGTATGTATATATGTAATTTTGATTAGCCATAAGAATTTTCTAGGTGATCTGTTGTTGTAAGGAACATTAGCAAAGAGAAATCCCATGTAAATTCCAGTTTTTCATCTTACACATTGAAAATAACACAAACTGATTATGCTTATTTTGTTGAAGCAGTCATCAGCACTGTCTCATTAGCTAGCATTATTCTTTATATTTACATACAACAGGACTACATTTGCCTTGTGCTCATTTTTTCCAGAGAAAAAAAATTCCAGTAAATTTGCTGCTAGACCCTAGTTACACTTCTTCTACTGTTTATATAGTTGATTTTGTACCATGATAGTGGAGTTTTGCAGGGTAAGTATTTACAAGTTTGCTTTAGTGATCTCCACTGCATGGAATCACATAAATATGTTCCATATTCAACAGGAGTTGAGACAATGTATTTGCATCATACAGTGATACTGAAATGCTTTAGTTGCATTGGCTTAATTGTGTTTAAGAAAAGTAGCTGTGTGAGAGGCTCTGTAAACTACTAATGTTGTGGAACTTTTTTTGTTTTTGTGGACTTGGAATTAGGGAAGGAAGAGGAAGAAAAATCAAAATGTTCTAAAAGAGTTAGAATGTTTCAAATGATGATCCACTCCATTTTATCGAGTACAATCTTGCAAAACTTTATGTACAGTCCTGTAAAAACTAAAATACATTTTAAAATATTTATTATAAATTTTAAACAGTAAATATTCATAAAGAAATAGTGATGATAAGTTCACAGCTTTTTATGATTGTACATTATAAGTTAACCAAAGAGAAACATGACTGTTCTTCCAAATCAAATGCCTTAGAGTGCATATCCTTTAGTAGAAGAGGTGTTATTCAAATTAGGCAACCCATTGACAGTTTTCCGATTTGTGGTAATATGTTCAATATTTGTACAGTATTTAGAGGGCAAATAAATGTTCAATAAAGGGCATACTCATTCAATATTTCTTGCAATGTGTTAAAAAGAAATTTAGTATCTGTGTGAAAGCAACCTGAAGCCAGGATGGTAATCATTATAATGCTCAATAGAATGCTAACCAAGAGAGCTTAAAGGAAAGAAAAGGGAAAGAAAAAGATGTAATCTTCTGCAGCACACTGTAATACCTTGGTATTTTATTAAAAAAAAACCTGAAGTCAGATCTTGTAAGACTTGATGAGTCAACATTTGGCTGTTCCAACTGGGCTACACCCATGGGAAAAGTCACAGCTCTCTTTGTGCTCTCCCACTGCCCAGGAAGAAAAGGAGGCAATGACAATGTGTTCTTGTAAGCAAGGGCTACACAGCTAGGTAAAGTGAAAATTTGCTAGATCTATAAGATGAAGGGCCCTAGAAAGCAGTGACTTTCAAAGGAGCTTTTTCTGTTACAGTGGATAAACCTCTGGGTACACAGGATCTTTGAATGAAAGGTAGCTGCTAGTGTAGCTGCAGGCAGTATGATTCTTTGTTATTCAGGGAAACTGAAGAGGAGCCAACATTACTGCCTGTGATGCATTATGCTTGGTTCTTATGACTGTATTTCAAAAGACTATTGAGAAAGTGACTGCATTTTGGAGTAAATATGAATGAGAGTGACCTGAGTGATAGAATCGACATGGTATGCAAACCTGTGGTATATAATTCACCCAAGAGCAGTAAAATAGTAAACTTTTAAAGGCCAGGGAAAAAAAAAATCTCTGAGAGATGGCTGTTTAATCTAACATAAATAAAATGGAAGCTGAAGCTAGATGCATTCAGATGACAAATAAAGCACTGTTTTAGCAGTGAAAGTATTAAGACATTGGAATAAATTCTTGGGAGTATGGTGGTTTACTTTGATATTTTTAGGCCTAACCTAGGTACCTATTTTAACCAAAAGTCGTGGGGTCGAGGCAGGATTTAGTAGATGACATCTTTCAGCTTGTGCTATACGGAAGGTCAGTATAAATAAAGAACCTGTGCAAAAGATTTATCTACCTAACAGCCTTCTATATGTTTATCAGCTTTGTCTTTTCCCTTTACAGATAAAACAATAAGTCAGTCTTCCAATGTGAGAGCAATCTTTCCAAAGATAGTTTTTCTAGCAGATCTCTGGCTGAGTACATGTAAATACTATTTGAACTTTCCTCACTTTGAAATTTTTCTAAGCACTTGCACTAGTTTTTGATGGCTTTTTCTCTTTTTCCACTAAAGCAAAATCCACACTGAGATCAACTACTTTTGTAACTCCTTTCAGCTAACTAAAGTAATGTTTCATGCAGACTGATGAATGTTCAAGATCCTCTACTCTTCTTCACCCTTTTTTCCGTGTTGTTCCTAGAGTCTGAAAAAGCTTCCAGATGCTTTTCAAACTTGCAATCAAAAATTTTTATAAGAGTGATGTTTATGCACAACCCTACATAAATGCTGACTAATAATTATAGCTGCCAGTCAAGATTATTTTGTTCCATTCAGAAGCCCAAACTCATTTATCAGTGGCTTGTATTTACTTTGACTGGCTGTAATGAATAGCCTGTGAGTATCATTGCCTACCATGACATAAAAGAATGTCTTTTCTGAATTCCAACAATGTAACATCTCCAAAAATTTGTTATTTCATTTCAGAAATCTGCTTTTCTGTGCAAATTCTCTTTTGGGTTCTCTGTCTATAATTGCTTGGTTACATTAACAAGGAAACTTACACCATTTTGATGAGTGGCATTCTGAAAGGATGTGCTATGTGGGAGTCAGATTTCTTGGGCTGTTAAAGATGGACTGTTCTTTGAAAGGTCTACCACTGTTATATGAAAAATAAATTAACTGTGAAACAATGCTTAAAAAACCCAAATAATAATTGTAATTTAAAATTCTGTACCAGAAAACAGTTATAATTGTATAATTGTAATAATAATTGTAATTTAAAATTCTGTGCCAGAAAACAGTTACTGTTAAAATACTTCAGAGTTTTTTTGTGTTGCTGTCAAGCTCATTCATCTTAGTCTCTCCAATTGATAATGAAATTACCTGCTTATCTTTGTTAAATGTAACCAGAATGAATCTTTGCTAAATGAACCCAAATGTTTTAAATCATTAATTTACACAGTTTGCCTCATTTCCCTGATGCTGTTTTAAATGTATTTAACCTTTAAATGAGAAATAGGCCCAGATCTGTATTCTTGTACTTCACCAATTTTAATCTTTCTTTGACTGGAGCAAATGGAGAATAGCATAATTTGTACTGCTGTTAACACTGCTGGTAACAGACAGCTACAGAAATACAGTAAATATGTTCCAAGGGGAAAACAAGCAAAGCAACTTCATTATATATTGTGAAAATGATAGTGAAGGAACCATTCTACTCCTGTCTTGGCCCTCTGTGACCCTGTCCCTTGTGAAAGGAAAGCAGGACTATCAGAGAGGCAGTCATGCTTACGTATGCATTCCTGGCATTTTTGGTCAATATATCTCTTAGTAAAAATACCACCAAAAGATCTTGCATATCAACTCACTTTTTAGACAAAGAGGTAACAGTTTTTAAATGCTGAGTTATTGTGGGTGTGTGTTACATTTTCTAGGGCAGAAAGACCCAAATCAAACATCTCAAAATGTTCCCTTTTTTTATGGAGGAGTTGATAAAAACAAGAGATGTCTGTTCTCAGGTTGCTGTTATTTTTGAACAGTCTCATTTTCTCTCTTCTGGCTTCTTGCATGTAATTATGATCCAGTTCTGCTCCCTTTGGAATTTATGGCAGCATTCCCACTGACAGCAGTGGTTATGAGTTATATTTGACTCTGGAGATTTTAATTCTGATGTCCTGACAAAATTTCAAAACACATAATTATGTTCTGGCAAGCTGAATTCTACCTTTATTAATTTGAGTTTGCACAGAACCTAGAAATTCTACTAGGTCATGATGCCAAGAGCTCTGCTCTCTTCAAAGAATTGTATCTGCCCATTGCTCTGGAATTATTGTGCTGAATTACTGACACATGGAAAAGGGGCATTCAGTTTTTGCTTAGTGGATGAATGGGGTCCTAACTGCAAGTGATCTTTCACAGAAAGCCATGGAAGCACATTTTCAGATGTTGTCTGTGTTGTGTTATGATACCTGCAGAGATACCTGAGGTAGCCACTAAGTAGCAGTCTGTTTTCCACAGACACACAGAAAATATGCTCTGTGGATGTGTTTATCAATACAATTTTCCTAAAAAAACCCTACCAAACTAGACCATGAGACACCCCTGGTGTCCCCATTTGAAGAAAAAAATCCAAACAAGGACTAGAAAACTAAATAGTGAAAGTGAGGGTTTTATTTTTGGTGATATGTTCCACACTTCTCTGTTTAGATTTTTAAACAATGACAGAAAAGAAAATGCTTTTCTAATTTCAGCAATAAAACTTTTTTTCTATTCAGAGACTAACTGCAAAGAATTGAATAGAGCTGTGGGGAAATTAAGGACTTCATCGATATGAATTGTTCTTTCTCTCCCATCGCAAAGATGTTAGACTGCTAAATAAATTTAAAGTGTGAAATTTGCAATGATTGAGGCTGTTATGAATTGCTGTACTATTAGCAACCAGGTAACAACCATAGTAACTGCCATTCTCTGGTGGCTTTTCTTGAATTTAAGCAAGAGATTTTTTTTTCTTTCTTTTAAACACATGCATACACAAACACCAGGATCAATATATTGTTTTTCCAGTCTTTTTTCCCAAGGCAAACACTCCATGGGTCATGTTTTTATATCACAGAGACACTTACTAAGCTTGAAAGGCTTAAAATAGGGCAGTGAATTTCTTCCAGATGGGCAGAAGCCAACCTGCCCTCCTGAACCCTGGGTATCTAACTATGTGGGAAGTGTCTTGGCATTTCTGTCCATACCTTAACCATACTTTCAAGGAATGTGATGTATGGGATGTACTGAGCCAGAACCCTCAGAGAAAAAGCAATAGTATTTATAGTATTACATTCTGTTATGCTGGCTGACCTGAATTAAGCTGAAAAAACTAGGATTGTAGAAAATCAAGCATTCAGATCATTACTGGATGATATGACCTTTTCAATGTAGTTTGTACTGGTTTTACCATAGCTAGGATTTTTTGAAGTGTTTTTTTCTCTCCCTCTGTCTCTGTCTCTATCTATCTATCTATCTATCTATCTATCTATCTATCTATATATAACTTTTTTTTTTTTTGTAAATGTAATGTTAGAAATGTACATGTCACAGAGCTGGTGGCACCTGTTCTTGTGACTGACCATCATAGATTTGTAATTATATCAGAATTGCTGTGCTACATAGAACTGCTTCTCTGCTAGAGATGTTGCCTTGTGGTGTCACAGGGATACTGTAATAGAAAATGAAATACCTCTGGCTAAATACTTGCTAGTTAGCAATGCAGGCATATGCTAGTAAAATCTGTGTGGTGCATTTATGATTTTATGAAAATAAGTATGTTTGTTTACATGATCATTATCTCTCTGTTATTAGGGGTAAACTTCATAAAACTTGTGTTGATATACCTGAATATATATCTCTCAGGCAGTTAAAGAAATCTATGTTGGACCCTGTCAGAGCTTTGAAGAAAGAAACAAACACTTTTTTAGCTGAGGCTTCTGCAGCTTCTCTTCTGACAGATATATATGTGAGGTGTCCCATATTTTCTTATGCCCATATCATTGACTGAAGAAGGGGTTTAGTATGTATTCAAAACTCAACTAATAAAGCAATCCAGAATTTTGCAGCTTTAAGTACAATTATTTTAGAAAGTTCTATTAGTGACTTGTGTCAATATACTTTCACAGAACTTCTCCAGTATTTCCAATAGTATTGTGCACAGTTTAAACAGAAAAGCAGTATTCAGATTCCTGTGATTGAACTCCTTTGAGTTTTATCTTTTTACAGAAACTGAAGATCTGTGTGTCTGATAATTCACCTATCTGTGCATGTGTGGGTGTGTATGGGTGTTAGAGAAAGAGAGACCTGTAATAATGCAGTTGCCTGTATCATAGTGTGTATGCACAAATTTCAAACAGATACTTAATCCTTAGAAATGTTAAAAAGCTAAATGCTGTTAACATATTTATAATGCAGAATATAGTGTTTACTAGACTAAATATTATGTAACTGAGGTGCTTGTATTATGTAAAAGGTGAAGTCTGAATACCATGCAGAGCTATATACATTTGATGACAATAATGCATAGCCTTTTTTTTTTTCTTACCAGCATATTATTAAGCTGAACTGTTTTCTAATTGTGTAGACAATGATTATTTGTCTGAAAACAGAGTATGAATGGAGAGCATGAATTGTATTTTTTATATCTGTTTTTCTTACTACTTCCTTCTGTTCTTTTCAATTTAAGGTTGCCTTTGCCTCCTGGAGCATTCTCAGGTCTTTGGGAAAATCAAGAAACATTTCAGAAATTGTATTTCCAAAAGTTTCCAGTAAGAATTATGAAATAAATTATTTAAACTTCTGGTAATGCTTCAGAACGGAGGTCTATGATATATGTATATATAATTTAAACCATATCAAGATAAATCCTTTTTCACCTATAATTTCAGCTCTTGGTTATGATGTTGGTTTTTTTTAAGATCTGAAACAGAAGTAAACCATAAGCTTCTGAGCCAAAAAGTCATTTAATGTCATTTAATCTAAGATATAAACCTGCAACCTTACACTAGCACAGCTTCAAATACACTCCTGCTCTTGGCATGCAGCCATGCTAACTTCGTATCACACCAGAATACACCCTTGTCCACTGTACATCTGAATACACTGGAGGCTCTTTGCTCATTAGTTATGTTTCCTTGTCAGATGAACTACCCAAGGATTGGCTTACTTCTTTCTTTGTAGAACTGGGTAGATTGGCCCTATGCAAGTGCTCAAAATTTGGCTCAGTAAATGAGTGAATTGGTCATACAAACTATTTTTAGTTTGCAATTGCATCACAATGACAGTGTATGTTTGGATACAGCAAACAGGAGTATCTTTAGGAGGAATTTGACAACTGTCATTATATTGCAGTAATTCCATTTTCCTTGTGTAGATCCAGAACAACATCCTTCTCCAAGCTGTCAGGGATCAAAGTAAGCAGAGTTGGAAAAAAGCCAGGGTTTATCTATTTTTTTCTGTTCTGTGTTAATAAAGACAACAAAACCTTTCTGTAAAGGGAGCTGCACAGGATAATATGATATAAAAATGGTGACAAATATTACAGAATTAAATCTTTCAAGAACCAAAAGCATATATAATGTGAAACAGGTCTGGGTTTTTTTTTTTTTTGTGTGTGTGTGTATTTCCTGTTAAATTAATGAATATTCCTAGTACTCTTTCTGAATTTGTTTTTCATTGTGTTGTATTTAGGGATATTATGATACTATGGATGCTGGTTATGTGGATGAAGATGGCTATCTGTATGTGCTGTCTCGAGCTGATGATGTGATCAATGTTGCTGGACACAGAATTTCTGCAGGTGCAATTGAAGAGGTTAGCATTGCCTGTCAACAAAATAGAAGAGTGGAAGATGAATAAAACAAGCTGAGACTGAAAATCCCACATTTCACTGCCTCTCAAAATCTCACACAGAAAGATTTCTCATTTTTTTCCTACTTGTTTTGTTTGTACCAATTTCCATTGGTACTTTTAACCAAAATATTTCCTGTTTTGTGTTCTTTCTGTTAACATGCTTTCCAGAAACATAACGAATGTAGTCAATAATATGCATTTTGTACCATGGGATTGCTAAGGCAGGCATAATTTGATAATTGAAGGTGGAGTTAAGGAGCAGTGTGGTAGGGTGGGAAGCATACCTTTTTTAGCTCCAATAACGTATTTATTTGGGACCACATTAGGATAGTGTAGTGTCAGTGTGACAGGTAGTTTCACCAGCTACTGTAGTTACTTAGGAGTAGAAACTTTTTTGCCTAAACTACAATGATCAGTGACTGATTTTTTTTTTCCAGAGATTAATATTCAGTGATTTTTCTTGGTTGGAAGACTTCAGAGTTTTTTGACAACTGTTTTGTCTCTTATTGTATGAGCAGTGCTAAATGAGCAATGAAAATTTCTTTTAAAAACCCTGCTGTTAAATTGAAAGTCATTAATGTAATACCCATGCAACTCAAAAAAGTTGAAAATACTGAAGTTCATAATAGTGTCTGAATTTCATATCATTGTTCACTCGCCTTTCTGGAGTCACTGTGATTGATTGCCAGTTAAAATTTCCCTGATGACATATCAATTGCTTATTCAGGGAGTATAGGAAAAGGTGTGCTGGGCATGTACAAGAGAAAAATACGCTTTTAAGAACTCTGAATTCAGCTGTTCACTGAATCAGAAACTGATCTGTGAGTTGATTTTTCGTTTATATTGTCTGTTAGTCTAGTAACTACTTTATTTTGAAGGTTAGAAAAATTAGAATAGAAGAAATTCTAATTACACCAAAGTGAACAAGTTCACATTAATCCATCAAGGATCGGTCAGACAGGGAGCTGAAACAGTTGCTGCCCTGACTTAGGTCTATGGAGATATAAAGGTGCTTTCAATCTGCTTAAACGTCTTTCCCTTAGGAGTAGTTTTTTCGTGTTTCCTTTCTGAAGCACAGCAGGAATCTCATCCTCACCCCTTATTGCTACTACTCCTGGGCTGAGCTGGGCAATTTCTTTGCTTCAGCATGGGTCTGAAGCTGCTGTAACAAATGATGAATTGAATCACCTCATCTGCTGTATTACCTTTGGATCCATCATACTGAGCTCAGCATCTCTGGTTTTTTCCCTGCTAGTTAGGTCTTACCCCTAGAAACATAATGTTTCATCACTGTAACATTCTACAAGCTTTTCTGCTCACCTTTTGAACAAAGCTAAAAACCAGGAGTGATTTAGTGCGTGCACAAGAAATTGCTAGTTAAATGGGAAAGTGTTAAGAACACCACAATTTGCTCCTCAGTAAGATCAGTAAATACAGAATTAGAGGTCCATTGAGTCACTGTGTAATTGACAGTCACCTTGTTAAGCAAGTATGTTATCTACATTTACATTTTAGCTGCATTACAAGTTTAATTAGTTTTTCCTTAGTGCTTTGACTAAGTGTTTTAGCTCTGTTATGTTCCACACAATGAGTTCCTTTGTCTAATGTATCTGTTAATACTATTGGAACTCCATGTTTACTGCAATGCAGTAGATGTTAGAGTTTACCTGGCCAATTAGTGAATGGTGGCCAGGTAAACCTCATCTTGCATGTTGATCCACCCTTTTTCTTTGGTCTATAAATCTGTGGTGTCCCTTCTTGCCCCTTGAATAAAAACAAAGCTTAATCAAATCTTCTTTATCTGAGGCAACAGACTTGAGAACTGAGGAATTTATCATGAGAAATCCCTTTCCCCTGATCACGGTGTTTCTGTCTGCTGCTGCATTTGCCATCCATCCTTGTACCCCATGATCATACTAGGAAAACCATTTCACTTCCTGAAGTTTTTTATTACTTTTAAACGATTTTTAAATCTAATGCTGTTTCTGTTCTTCTTTTCAGTTGTTTTATGAAGTTTGTTAATTTTGAAATTGTTATTTATTAATGACTGATTTCAGTAATTTGAAGTTAGCCTTTGGAAAGTCAAAGGTATGTTGATAGAACTTTGGATAGACTGAAGAAAAATACTGCAATAACTACACTATTCCAACTAACCATAAGACTTACAAATCAGTGACAGACTAGAATGACAAAAACAAGGTATAACAAAATAATCTGGCAACATTTAAGTCTTCACTTTAGGAGTCCTCTTCATGCCTGGTAGGCAATTATGATACTTGATGGTAATGCCAGTTTAGTGTAGATTTTTTTCCTGTGTTCCTGTGAAAAACAGTGTTTACTGATTTACTGTGGTTGTAGACTTAATAGTCTACTTTTCCATAATTCACAGTATTTTTCTTTCCTATTTTTTTTTTTTTTTTTTTTTTTTTTTTTTTTTTTTTTTTTTTTTTGGTTTTTTTTTTTTTTTTTTTTTTTTTTTTTTTTTAGTTATATACACCTATCAGGTTTCTGTGGCCATGGTCAAGAATTTACAGCAGAAAAAAAAATGGATATTTATAGCAGGAAATGGAATGCATTACTGAGGCTCTGGCCTGTAGGTGACCAAAGTGCATTAAATCTATGTGATGCAATGAAACTCTGTAGGGATTTGGGCTTGCATAAGATTAATTCCTATTTGATTTGTCAGTGGAGATACAATGATTTTGGACAAAGTAGGCTGCACCTGAATTCAAATGCATTTGTGTATATTCAACTTTTTGAAGTAGGCTCTTCTGCCCTTCTAATTCTTGTATAAGCCCAGTGCACTCTTCTGTATTTAGTTTGTGCATATCATATTTAATTGCTGTGGAAAATCCAGTTTCGAAAGCTGTGCATAAGTGGTCATGCTTCTGTCATTCAATAGAGCATGCATCCGCTGTCAGGTCAGTGTTTTTTCCATTTGCCTTTATTCTGGAATGGGACATGTCTAGGATCATAGTTTGTGAAATGAGTATAGCTTCTGACAAAGTGTGCTAGAAACACATTGAGTGGATTTATTTTGCTAAAAACTATTTAATGTGTTGTACTGACCATGACACATGGAGTCACTTTCTCCTTCCTGTTTTGACTATAAAGCCTAAGGATGGTGAAATCTGTTTTGAAGATGGGTTGTCATAGACCCTTTGAATTGTTCCTTTCCCCCTCAGTTTCATAAACAGGTCATACAAGAACCTCCCTTTTTTAATCTGGGCAGCAGTGTTTCAGCTTTCTGTTCTTTCAGGCTTTTTCTTCCTGTCTTCTCTGTACTTTTCCTGTCTTTCGCATTCTCACACCGTTGTATGAGTAGCCAGTGCAAATGTGGTATTCCTCCTTAATAAAAACAACCAGAAAGTGTCTTTATTCCTAAAACCTTTGATTTTGGGAACATAGTATGTGAAGTTCAGTTATTAGCAAGTACATAGTCTTTGTATGCACAGATAAATTAACAAGCACAATCACATGTGGCTTCTGTGTAGGGTCAGGTTAGGTCCTCCTTGTGGTCGAGTCCAGAGGACTGAAAAGTGCTGAAAGCACTGTTGACAGCAAAATGCCCCAACGTGAGGGGGTAAATTAAAAAGAGCCAGTTGCTTTGGAAGAGGATTCACAACTGCTGGCATCTTAAGGCCAGCTTTGTCCCAGACTTGGTGACATATGTCTTGGTATGTACTGAGACATCTTGGTGTCTGTTTTCCTGGGAGTACCTCAGCTGGCTAATTGTAAACTTACATTTTTTTACCTGAAAAAGAGTTTGATATTTATCAATGTGATGTTGTGTAAACATGTAGTAGGAAGGAAGGAAGCCCACTTTTTTGTCTCAGGAAGTTGAGATCTAATGTTTTCAAGAGAGTGAGCTGAGCTAGGCTGGCTGCAAGGCAAGGCTGGGCATGTATTTGGCTTGATTGAAACTACGCTTTTACAGCAACAAAGAATGAAAAAAAAAAAAAAGTCAGAGAAAATGAACCAATAGACTTCGTAAGTCTGTAGTAAGAGTGCTTCTGTGGTTTTGGTCCTTACTCCCTACATTTAAGTACCATGTTACTCATAATGTTAGACAAATGTTATTTGCTCCAGCAGAAATCTCACTAACAAAACCAAAGACGGGATACTCTCACAAAGCTGTAAGGAAATTACCTGTGGTTTGTTCAATATTTCTGTTTTGTGCTGCTGAGGTTTTTATTTCTTCTGTTTGTTTGAAAAGCATGTGTGAGTATATACGAAAATATATACACATGTACATCTTCAACACATGTAATCGGAATCCTAATTGTACTGACCTTTTGCTGTCAAAATGTAAGAAAAAGTCTATGGTTTTTATTCGTACCATACCATACCATACCATACCATACCATACCACTTTTTTTCACTGAAATGTTGTCTATTTTCTTTTCCATCCCTCAGTGTATTCTCTTCCATCCCGCTGTGGCAGACTGTGCTGTTGTGGGCCAGGAGGATCCTTTAAAAGGGCATGTTCCATTTGCACTGTGTGTACTGAAAGGAGGTGAGAACTCACTGACAACTGATGTCACTAACACTTGCAAAAGTCTCAGAAAAGATAAAGGATTTTACCTTCTCCACTAGGTATAAAGACACAAGAGAGTAAGATTTTGGAAGAGATTGTTGAGCGAGTTCGGACCAACATTGGTCCAGTAGCAGCTTTCCAGAAGGGGATGTTTGTGACACAGCTACCAAAAACACGCTCTGGCAAGATCCCACGTTCTGCTCTTTCTGCCCTCATCAGTGGAAAGCCATACAAGGTAAGTTAGAGATGTTTGCTTCAATGAATTAGGCATACATGCACATCCAAAGGCACAAAATGGTGGTTTTGATTCTCCTGACTGTTCTGCAACTGGTCCATGACTTCAGGTAGTACTTTATGTTTTATTTCTGTTACCAATTATCCAAAAGATTTTCATGTTTCAGAGCATTACAGATACCTTTTTCTTGATTTCTTTTGAAGTATAAATTTAGAAGAATCTCTGAATGAAATTCTTACCTACTATCACATGCTACTGTATTCTTACTTTTCAGATAACACCAACCATTGAAGATGCTAGTGTGTTTAAACACATTGAAGAATTGCTAAAGAAAAATTAAATGAGATAATACATAATAATGAGCATTTCAGTTATTCAAGTATACAAAGAAGCTTTTTTTTGTTAATAACACATTTTAAAAGCAAGTAATGATTTGGGACTAAGTGTTTTTACTGCACAAACATTACTCTGTTCTTTGCCATCTTGCTACAGCCACTGACACATAATAAAGTCTCTGCATGCTGTCAATATATGCTGGCTATTAAGATGGCTAAGAATTGCAAATAGAATTCATACATTGCTGTAGTCTTAAAGGGCAGGAGTCATTGGATTATCCATCTTATACAGTGTCATGTAACCTTGCATTTCAATCTGTTATTTTATAACGTGACCAGTAATTTTTCTTTGGCTAAAGCAGCTTACAAAAGGTAAACTTATGAACAGAGGACAGCAAAAAAGGAATTTGATTGTGAATATTGTTGCCGATATAAATTGTTCTTACTTGTAAATTATTAGCTCTTCTAAATTTTTTCTTAAATTTAAAATTTTAAGATTAGTTCTCTTGATTCTATTTTCTCTTTTTTTCCCCCTAAGTCTTTCTGCCTTAAATTAGATTTCTATAAAATTTTTACTCAATAACTTTTTGAAGAGCCTTTTTTGTAAAATGATAAATAATTTCTGACTGATTTGAATTTCAAATCTGTGAAAATCTTGATTTGTCCACAGTAATATTCCAAATACCCCATGTATATTATATAAATAAAGGCAGGCATTTACCTTTTGCATTTTCTGATAATTTTTTTCTGGTCTGTATCCCTTATGATAAGGGCAACCAGAATGTGCTTTTTCTGCCATAATTACACATTTTAAGCTGAGATACATATAACCAAGACATTTAGCAAATATGTATGCTAAGCAACCCATTGTGGACTTTATAGGCCATTCCAGACATTTACAGCATTCTCCACAAGCCAGGGGATGGAGGATACATTTTCTACATACGTTTCTTCTCAAACTGCAGTTATTTAATTGAACAATAAATGTAAAAATCCTTTTAAAAATAGATGCTCCCAGAAAAGTATAAAGCAGAGAAGTTGCTCAAACTGAGCAGTGCTTACCAGAGAAAGAAACAGTAAATAGATGATGGTGTTGTATAAGAGAGGTCCCCAAAAGAGTCCAGAAATACTGTTACGTAGTGGTGGATAGAGGTAAGGATGATATCCCTGTGAAGTGATGAAATAAACCAACAGATTGATGTAGGAGCTAAAAGGTGATAGGTTCCACTTAACATGAGCCATACCCTAGTGGTGCCTTGTGCTTGTGACACTTTTGTGGAGTTGGTGAGCTCTACCAGTTACATAAGAACTGAATGAAATGTCCATGTGTTTTTCACTGGGGACTGCAGACAGCTGGGCCAGTCATGTTGAACCAGGTCATACAGTCATGCTAAACCAGTCCAGTTTGAGCCTGGGCTGTCCTTGTTTCCTGCCAAATCATTGCATAAGGTACCCCCCCTCCCTCTCAGCTGTTTGCTTGATGGTTGAAAATGACCATCTGAAAAGGGAATAAAACATGCAAAGTAACTGAATAAAGATACTTTATGTTAATATGCTAAATATACAGGTTGGAGATTTAAAAGGCGGAATAATTTTGCTCTTCAGAGATGTCCTTAAACTTTTGTGAAGTACTTCTTATAGAAGTGGCAGTAAGTTTAAGATACTACTTTCTTCTGGATGAATTATTCAAGTACAAAGGCTTTAACAGGAGGCCCATGCGAAATATTGGACTGACTTGCAGAGACTTTTTGCTTTTCACAATGCTACAACTTAGCAACCTGTGCTGAACAGTTACAGAGCAAGAGGAAATTCTTGGGAGTTGTCAGTGGTGTGTTTGTTTTTAAATCAGTGAGACACTATGGGAGTCTTATCACAGAGAAACTGTGGCACATTCACACGGTGTGTGGCCACTCCTTTTACAATTGAAGGTGAGATACTGTTGTGTATATTTGTTACCTTGTTACCTTGTATATCGTTACCTTGGCTGCAGCCATCATATAATTGCAAGAGCAGGAGAGGGGAAGTAATTAGTGAGAGCAGAAACTCTCTACAAGAGATCCTGCAATTCATGTAGGAGAAGAGAATTAATGTCCTAGATCTTGCATAATTTTCCCAATGATAACTCATGTTCCTACACCAGTTTCTCCATTTGTAAGGAAAAGTAAACTGCTTTCTAGTTTGGGTCTCTTAAGGAAGTGAAAAAACCCCACAAAATCCTCAACAGCATTAGTAAAAGATATTCAGGCATGCACTTACCTTTCTGAAGGGCTTTGTGCTTACATTAATATTAGTAAGAAAAAATTCTCTTTCCTCTGAACTGTTTTTGAAGAGCTTCAGTAGGTCACATTCTTAAGGTGTCTCCATGACAAAAATATTTGTAATAATTTTTGCTTTCTGAGGAAGCCTGGAAGCCTGAGCTGTTGTTTTGGAGGTTGTTTTTTTTTTGGTTTTTTTTTTTTTTTTTTTGTGTTTTTGGTGTGTTTTTTAAATTTTTTTAATGTTCTCTTTTTAACAAAAAATCTTGTGGGTTTTTTTTTTCTCTCTATTTTGGTAGAAGTAATTTCAGATCAAGACTTGTATTTTAAAAGAGGACAGAGCATTCAGGTGTGCTCACTATACTGCCATGCTGGTAATGTGGAGAATTCCAGAAATGTCAAATGTCTTATGCATCAACATTCACAAAGCCTAGACAAAGAAAGGCACCTTATTGCAGCAATACATTATGAGGAAATCACTGTTTAATGGCCATTACTTTTGTTTTCCAAAAGAGCATTTGCTGAGGAACTGCAATTGCAGAATGCTTTGTCCTAGCCAAGCTCAAGAAAGGGAGAAGGAGTAGCTACCCTTGTACATGGCTCTGCTGCTGCCCAGCAACCTGGGTATACCGTCGCGAACAACAAGCCCATTTAACAAGTGGTAGGACAGTGGTAATTTTCTTACTTTTGTTTTTAGAGATAAGCAGTGAGTGGATAGATTTGAATGGTCATTGAATTGCTGAATTTTGGCTGGAAGAGGCACGTGTAGTAGTTATTCTCAGTGTACTGAAAGGGTTGGAGCCAAGTAGGCAACATTTATCTTAACTGCTGTTTCTAGCTGTAGAGGGTAGAGCTTCAGTTTATGTGAGGGAGACAGGGATGAATTAGGAGGCTTGATATGTTATCCTTAAATAAAAACTGAAGTCACAATAATACCATTTTAAATTCTTCTAGTCTGTTTTCTGCCACTGTGAAATATATAGTAAGTGTGTGCTGTACTCCTGGGGCAGGACAACTTCCACACTGGTCATAAAATCTTGCTCATTCTTTTCCCCAACACACTTCATTCCCCTTTGCCCCCTAAGTTTCAGTGTCAGCTGCAAAAGGAATTCTGTAAAACAAGAGCTGGTGTTTGAGGGAATGCGTAGTCACATGATATTGCTGCCACTGACAGTGACAGTGACAGTGTTTGCATTACTTTACTTTGTGATATTCTGCCCTATAATAATCCAAAAGGAGGCTGAGGGAGGAGAAGAATGCTGGTCAAATCCAAGGAACTGTGTATACAAGAGCCCTGGCTTTGTACAGTTGTGTGCTATACCCCTGCCAGCACTTCGCAGCCATCAGCAAGATCTGTGCTCCCTCTCGTGGCAGATTCTCACCAGTAACTCCATCGTAACTCATCCCTCTTAGTGCCAAAATGTTCTTGTGCTTAGCTGTAAGAAGCATCTGGTTTCCAAACTTACTCAATGCTATTACGTACCAAACTTAATAGACTAATGAACACAAATAGCACTGAATTCTCTTTTTTATTGACATTGGGGGAGAAAAATCTTTCACCATCTGATTGACCGAAGTTTGCCAAATAAAAATAGACAAAACAAATGTTTATGTACGTGCAAACATTGCAGATTAAACTGCTAAAAGAAATAACTAAAAGACAGGTCTTGAGCTAAGATCAAGCAGCAGAAAAATAGCAAATAGGTAAATGACTATTAAGTAAGTCTTACTTTGAAACTTCCATTTAAACAAAGAATAAACAACAATAACACCACCAAATAAAGCCACAGCAGGTAATAGTTGCTCTTCTAAACTTCTATACACTATATATTAATCACTCTGTCTTTCAGTTATTTCCTCTGATAAAACTGACTTTTGTGAAGTCTCAGCAAGGCCATCTTGGCTAAAAGCATAACGTTAGACAGGAGCCTGTCTAATGCCCTGTTAGAATGAAGAAATGGTGTGGGTTGGCTTCTTTTTTCTTTTTTTTTCTTTGCTGAATATATCTGGAAAGAAGAATCTGATTCTATGCAAATATTAGATTTAATTTTCCAATGCTGGCTGGTGTTTGAAGATCCTGGAACGAAAAGGTGGCTCTTGATAAAGCAAGATTCTTCTTGGTCCGCAGGTAACATAGAAGAAAGTTTTTGGTTTTTTTTGTACAAATCATGTTTTATTAAATTGCTTTTTATTTTTTTATAAACAGTTCTTCTGGGTTTATGTATTTGTTTTTAAGAGATGAGCCATCATGGTGCTTCTCTGTAGGTATCATTTCCATTTTGTCTTTAGAGGTCCATTTTGGCTTCAGTTCCAGGTTATGTCATTCTATTATACATCATCAGAGGCAGGTGTTCAGCTTTAAATATTGACAGATTTTTCTCAGTAGGAACATGTTGAAGCTTCTAACTCTGCTAAACATATTAATTTGACTGTTACAATCCAAAAACTGTAAAAATGGTGGAATGGAAAGATACAAACAGTATTATTGACACTGTATTGTCAAATGTTTGCACTGAGACCCCATGTACCATAGATTTAATTTTTAAAAAATCATATTTATATCCATTTACATAAGACTTACACATTTTAAAAGAAATACATACACAGTAAATACGGAAATGTCTAGTATTTTACAATAAAACAGATGTAACAACGTAAAGATGAGTGGCTTCATTTGATAAAAGCTTTGGATGTGCACTACTGTCAAATTTTTGATGACAGAGATGCTGAGAGAAAAGGGGGAGATTTTGTTTTTCTTTTTCTCCTTTTTTTTTTTTTTTTTTTTTGTAATTTAGGTATTTTTTTATTCATGTTTTAAACTAACCAATACATGAAAAGAACATCATATCTGTTTGTATGATAAACATTATGTGTCCTCTTCCCTATTAACCTGTTCTTGCAGAGAGTTTTAATGCTCTTTTCCTAAGTAGTGGTAGTGCACTTCACGTAAAGTAGAAGAACGAGATGACATCTAAGGAAAAAAAAAACCCAAAACATTAATTAGCAAGATTTTATGATTCTAATTCAGTCTAAAGTGCAATGACAACAGAAAATATAGCACTAAGTAAGCAGTTGAGTAACTAAATTACTAAAACATGGATTTTGAGTATTCGTGGGAGGCATGCATTTGCTTAATTTTAGATCTGCAACATAAAATTACTAATAATTCATTTTAATCTTTTACTAATTGTCCTCAGTCAACACAGACTGCTGCTTATGTTTGTTTTACAGCTGTTTTCCTGCTGTTTTGGTGCAGCACTGGAGTTAGTTTCCTGCATCTGGAGACCTTTGCCTGTTTGGCACAATGTGAAACACATTTTCAGTGTATAGACATTGCTGATGTACTTCGTGTTTATTCCTAGTTCACTGCAGCTTGACAGCATTTACCTTTTTCACCCTGATGGTTTCTTTGCTATGGACTAGCTGCTTCCAGCTGTCATTCATATATTTTTGGAATGCTGCTTCTCCATTTGTTTTTACAAATCCTCTTTTGAACTCTTCACAGGTAAAGTACGTAACTGATTTTGCCAAATCTCCTTTAGTACTTCATTAGAATAAAAGTAATGTGTTCTATTGCTCCAGCCTGTGGCAAGAAATCTGTGTCAAGAAATCTGAATGACCCTTCTGACTTGGCAATGACAATTGTTTTAGAAGTTAAAAGTGTTGGGAAAGCTTGGATAATGTGAGTGCCAAATCCACAGCCTGTGTAAAGACATTGCAGCTGCTCTGCTGGGCCACCAATCTAGCCACCTCAGCAGAAAGCTTGATGGGTCCCATGTGCTCTGTGATACATTTCTTTGCAACATTAAATGGCCAGCACCAGCAGCCTTAATTGTTCTTAAATTTCTGGTACCAAGTACACTAAAACAGGCCTGTGATGAGTAAGCTCATATAACTGTTCTGAGAATGTCTGCACATGGCTTCTGGCAGCTCACTGTGGTTTCAACAAATACTCAGAAAAAAACACCTGAAATGCAATTTGAAAGTATATTAACATGACACAGCTGCTGTGAAGATACGCTATAAAGACACTGGAAAGTTGTACCAAACTGATGTTGACATAAACTGTTTTCACAAGCCATTGACAGTCTCTGTAAGAGAATGTCTCTTACTCTCATAAGAGTAGCAGAATGCAAGAATCTGCACCCTGCTGTAATCACAAGCCATTTGCATTTGTTCCATGTGCTGTTAGCTGCTTTCTTTTAGGCCTGCCCTTTCTAGGCATGTTCTCCTTTACTATATGAAATACTCCCTTATCTTGCAATTGTGTGGTAGCTCGTCCAGCTATCCCTCCCCTCTGCTGCTTAGTTTCTGCTTCTGTGCATGCAGCTACTTCACCAAAGTATCACAGCTGCTGATGTAGTCTAGGCAAGGTGTTACAAAAGCCTGGGTCTCAGTCTAAGATGGATCTGGAAAATTTCAGGAGGTTTGTTGTAATGAATAATCTTCCCTTTTATCCAAGGGTCAATCAACTCCTTCCATGATGAAACTGTTAGTCAGGAACTGTGCTGGCAAAATTCTGAAAACTCCTCTGTTGCCCTTCAATCTGATATCTCCCTCTATGGGCGGTTTCTGTTTATGCATTCATTCTTGAGCTGGAGGCAATTTGTTTAAATTTTCAAGATTGATATAATAGTGAAGGAAACCCTGCATGGTTGTTTTTCGAGGGGGGAGGGGTGGGATGGTGTTTTAATTTTCAGTATAACGTACTGGAATCCAAAATTACTTGAACTTGCTTTTTGGTTTATTATCTGCATTGTATTTTGAAGTTGCCCTTACAGTAAGGGCATATACTAAAGTTCTAGTTCACATCATCTTGTTTCTTCTTTAAAATGAGTATATGGTAAGTGTATTATTGTCAGTTAGCCTCATATATTGGCCTTTACAATGTAGAGGCAAATTTCATATCCTTATAGGCCACTCAAGCATTTAAGATTAGAATGTAATTGGTAGAATAGTGGACAAGCAGCAAGTACTGATGTGATACATACCACTGATACTTGAAACACTACTAATACTCCAGTAGAAATTGAAGGCAACTTGTATAGGTTGTAAAACTTTATATACACACCTTTTTGCTCAAAATACATATCTTCCATACATATATAGTGCTAGAAAAGTCTGCTACTTTACTTTTGTTTGTGCTTTGCTGCTTTTTAGATAATTTTTAATATAGTGCAAATAAATGGTTTGGATAATCTTAAATTAATTTTTGTTAGTGTATCAGTTTTCCATTTCTGCTTTTGTTGCACTCTTCAAACCTCACCTCAAATGCCTGTCCCATTACTGTTGGCCTAAGAGATTGCTTGGTGTTTAAACTTCTTGGTCATGCTCTATTGCTTCCAACACTGCAATTCTGAAGCTAATAGGGGAATAGGTTCATATCTCTGCCTTCCATTTCTGTCACCACTGAACCCTGGGAGAGTCCTGTCACTGACATACTGATACAAGACCATGCTCGAATCTATACATGCATACACATAAAAAGATTTTGATAGTTTATGTGCTTCATCATCATCTTTGTAGATTCAGCTGCTAAACTTTGCTCTTTCAGAAAAGCCAAACCAAACCAAAACCAACAAATAACCACACCCCACGCCCCCCAAACTTATTTTTTCAGGGGTAGCTTAAAAAGTCCCCATTTTTAGTAAGATGAAGATTTTATACTCTTATAATCTTTCTAAGATCTATGAAGTAAGGCTCATGTCATCAGGAGGATCCTGAGCAATCTACTTTTCCCACTGTTAACATTTGCTATTGCTAAGTATTTTTTGAACCTACTACATAGAGTTAGTAAAATCTTGACAGCCCCAAGTCTGTCCCAGTCTTGGTAATCAGAACAAAAAAACAGCAACTTGCTTGCAGATCCTTGCATGTCTTGCCTACAATATCCAACAGCTATTGAAGCATGTTTGATGCCTGATGAGGTTTTGGTGCTATTCAAATATTTTTTTTTCCAGCTGCCTTGCAATTCCCTAAGTTACTAAATGGAAATTGTTTTACTGAGAAAATACCAGCATGAAATGGTGCCATATTGATGTAACTACTCGTCATGTAGTTTTTTCCAAAAGCTGGGATAAAATAGAAAACTGTATTTCCACAGAACTGTGGAAAAGTGACTCTGTGATATTCATAACCACACTCAAAAGTTATATGGTGAAAAGTTTAACATGAAGTCCACTACTAAATTTGATCCAGAGTTGCATCCAGCTCAGATTATCCTTTCTTTGTCAGTTCTGAATGATTTGAGAAGTGCAGGAATCTCTGTAATAGATAAATTTTCAAGATTTTCTGTATGGGTAAGTCTATGCAGCTACTTGATGTTCTAAATTGAGTCATAGCTTTAATTAAAAAAAATAAAAATTCTGCTTTACTAGTGTTGCCCCCCCATTCCAGGTCCTAGTAGAACTGTTTCAAGTTCTCATAAAGTAAGTTCATTCCCTGTGCCTTCTCCCCAAAATGTGGTTGATAGTGTCCTGTGGGCCAAGCTTAAGACTGTAGTTATGACCAAATGACCACCCTAGGGAGTCCTTAGTTAAGTCCTCTGCTCCATGTTGGTTCATGCTTGGATAATGTGGGGTGTAGTTCACAGTTATAAAGAGCTTTCATGATGGCACCTACAGAATACTCACAACAATTCAGTGCTGGCTTCTTTGCTAGGCCTTGTCAGCATGAGTATGTGCGAACTGTTGAGCTGTCTAACCTCTGCAGTCGTGATGAAGCAACTGCAAATTGGGAAGGAAAAAAAAAGGAAACAAACCAGAGCCTCTTTAGAATCATCAGTAAAATATATCAGTCTGTTTACCACTGGAAGGGTGGCTTTTGAATTGCTCTGTGGCTTTCTCTAACGTGATCTGGGCATGGTCTAGTTCAAAACTCAGCACTTCTTCATGGCTGATGTACTTTTGGAATCTGTCTAAAGGAAATACAGTTTAAAACTCAATTTTGTCTTTATTTTTTTGTAATTCCTAATGCTCTTACTGCTGGGAGATAGGAAGCCAAATCCTGGATGAAGATACAGGTCTTCAGAATTACTTCCCTTTAACTCTGCTGAGTTCAGTATACCCAGCTCAAGAATTAGCTGTCTGGAAGACCTCAAGTAAATCACTAAATCTGCCTTTTGTTCCACATCTGTAAAATGGGAATATCATCTTCTACATTAAACCATGACTAGAAGATGAAATCCATTAATGTTTACAAGGTTCTTGTATGCTACAGTAATGTGATCTATGGAAATGCCATGGAAGCTAGGAGTCAGTGGCATTCAGTGATGCAACCAGTAAATTATTCTATCTGTAACTGCAACCATAAAGTACTGTTTTTAAGGGTGAGAAACTCTAATGGAATGTAGATGGCTTTACTGGAATCTAGGTGGCAATACTGTCATACCAAGTTCATTATCAAGTTACAGGATGTGATCTCTCCAAGTCTCTACAAGTCTGAGACAAGTCTATTTGTAACCTTAATCCTGTCATGATTAAATATATGACAATATTTTAAATGGGGCAGTTTGCATACTAATATTTCTCAGAACTACTGGCAGGTATACTTGGCTTTATCTTCCATATACCTGAAGAAATAGCTGTGATGGGATTTCTTTCCTCTTTCTCTGCTTGCTCTCTTACAATGATTTTAAAATTTTACTTACTTTTAAATGATGATCTGCTTGTTAATTTTCCACTCATTTCTGAGTTAGTGCATCTTTTGGAAATCAAAAGATTTCCAGAGAAAATTAGAACTGGTATATAGTAACTCAATTAGTGCCTGAATTTCAGCATCTGCCAACTATTCATCTGGTGTCTGTTAGCAACTTCAGTTATTTGATAGTCAAGGCTAAGCTATTAAATTTGAAAGTAAGATAGGAAAGTAAAGGTGATAGCCCTTTCTAATTGTGTTCTCTGAAACACTCCACCTGCTAGAGAGGCTAATAGGATGAAAAATTTGCTTAGGTATTATATTCAGTCTCAGTTGAAAGTTAGTGTCATACCAAGTTCATTATTTACAGGATGTGATCTCTCCAAGTCTCTACAAGTCTGAGACAAGTCTATTTGTAACCTTAATCCTGTCATGATTAAATAAATGACAATATTTTAAATGGGGCAGTTTGCATACTAATATTTCTCAGAACTACTGGCAGGTATACTTGGCTTTATCTTCCATATACCTGAAGAAATAGCTGTGATGGGATTTCTTTCCTCTTTCTCTGCTTGCTCTCTTACAATGATTTTAAAATTTTACTTACTTTTAAATGATGATCTGCTTGTTAATTTTCCACTCATTTCTGAGTTAGTGCATCTTTTGGAAATCAAAAGATTTCCAGAGAAAATTAGAACTGGTATATAGTAACTCAATTAGTGCCTGAATTTCAGCATCTGCCAACTATTCATCTGGTGACTGTTAGCAACTTCAGTTATTTGATAGTCAAGGCTAAGCTATTAAATTTGAAAGTAAGAGAGGAAAGTAAAGGTGATAGCCCTTTCTAATTGTGTTTTCTGAAACACTCCACCTGCTAGAGAGGCTAATAGGATGAAAAATTTGCTTAGGTATTATATTCAGTCTCAGTTGAAAGTTAGTCAATTCCAGCCTGATTGTTGCCTTTACAGTTGTAGGATAGTGAGATGTCCATTTTTTTGTATTTTAAATAAACACTGTCAGTTTGAAGCAAACCTGAAAAAAAATCAATAATATGCCAAGTCAGTCCTTTTCCATTCCCTAATTCAGCTCTCCCAGACTCGATTCACCCTAGTTAAATGAACAAAGTCGTGGTGGTGCGAGACAGACATAGGTTAAAAGTCAACTTGGCACGCTAGGCCGAGCCTCGTACTTTCCAAGAGGAAGTGCAGAAATGAGCTCGTACCGTCACTCGCCATCTTCCGCGACTGCCCGGAGGTGGTGGTGAGCCGGAATCCGGCCGGCAGCGTTTCCGAGGCGCCCGGCATCATGCTGATCCCGTGAACCTCGCGCGGGGGGAACTGCCGTCGCCAGGAGGGGCCACGCCTGAAGTTCTTGTCATCGCTCTGTCAACACAGAGTTGTATTTGATAAAGCAAAATGAAGCTTTTTGATTAACCATCCTGCTGTGTGCTACCTCTACCACTGCCAAATGTATTCCGTAACAACTACCCTGCCCTGTTGCACTGCATCCAGTCACTGTAATGTGTTTGAGATAAGCTTGTAAAAGTAAAAGCTTGAGAAATATTAAATGCTGGGGTGGAAAACTCTTAAATCTTTGGCTATATGTAGTCAAGGGGTTTAGTATCAGCTATATAGAACTTTCTTACACAGTGACAGAAAGTGATTTATTACTGCACTAGGAGGCTTACATAAAGTACTAAAAAAGGATTAAACACTCACGTGCATGCACAGAATTCATAGGCATCTGACATTTTCAGCACATCCTCAAAAGTTTTATTTCTCCTTATGTGCAGATGTCCATGACTTAAACATTTTTGCACTGGACTCTTATGTTAAGATAAGTAATTTCCATAGTTGGATTTGAGATTCCTCTTCCCAGATAACAGCCCCAAATCCCACTCTATTAATATTGATTAACTTTGAAGAACTTTGAAGAAAAAAAGCAATAAAAAACAAACTGAAAATTTACTTTTTTTTCTTTATTTTTAAAAGAGGTGTAAGTGTCCTAAAGAATACACTGCACAGGCATCCCACCCACACACATCCCCCACCACCTGCTCTGGCCAGCAAAACTTCCACTCTATTCTGTATGTTTCCTCTCTGGAAAATGTTCATCTTAAGGTAAGAGTGCAGTGTCAAATTTAGCATCCAAGATGACACAAATATGTAGCCAAGCTGAGGTTACTTAAAAAAACCTTGATGGGTATTCCTAATTTTTTCAAGCTGTAACTGACTCTTTTTAACAATGTGAAAATTAACATGTCTTCATGCATTCAATTTAATTTTAATGTTTTACTATGATATTTTATAAATACTGAAAATAAAATTAATTACTTCCTCAAGTCGTCTTTCAGTTCCTAGTGCTAAAAGGTTGTTGTATTCTCTCTCAAGGATCTGCCGTGCCTAGAGATACCAAAGTAAACAATTAAAATGGTTGAAGATGAATAAAAGGTAATAATGGGTACAGATTAACCAGAAGTAGCATAAGCAAATTTACCTGTGTGTTTTGTGTTGGAATCTGTAATAATAAAGCTAAACTGCTGTAGTCAAAATTTTCATCCAGTGCTATAAGGGAACCATGTACACCACTTTCTAGAATATTATTTGCATATTCTCGGAGGCCAATGGCTTGTATCCAGCGTATGACTCGATCATTGCTCCATACCAGCACATCTGTAAGGACATAACACCAGGTCAGTCTCCTGATACCTTGAGAACTTCCAAATTGTACAGGTGTTTGTGTGTAGCTGTGCATGCACTGTGGATGTCTTACTGCTTTCTGTCATATTTGAGGAATGCCAGCACTATTCATATAGCTTTAGTACATCCTATTGAAAAACTCTGTGATTAATTATCTTCAAGTAATAATGTTTCCAAAGGAGAAATGTGCTTCCAGAGGGGATCTCCATAATGCAATTCCTCCCACATCCTATATATACCTTTTCAATTTGTAGGCAAGATTTTGCAGTGCAAAGGCACCGGAGAAGTATCAAGGCTTCATGTGTGAGTTTTGTATTAAACATTTTGGGAGTTGTGTCAGCACCTGTCACATACTAACATGCCATAAGGTAAAATATTAGTTCACTATTTTAGAGACAAACTATTTTTAGTACAGAAAGCTGGTAGAGTTGTTAAGGTCCATACCAACTATAAAGCTAAGGCAACAAAATGAGCTAGGAAACCATTTTTGAGGATTTAGCTATTCTGAAAAAGTATCCTTCCCTGCCTGTAAGTTTAAGAAAAAAATTACTTATACTGATCTTTGGAGTTTTAAGTGGGAGACATAGTAATGAGTTTTCTTTACTAAGTGATAAGGCTTATTCCTGAACCTTTACAAGTCCAGCTGCTGTGGCTGTCCTGAGAGCAGGATTTCTCCATCACCTGGCTGAGAGCATCTTGCTTTTTGGGGTCAGGATCAGCTGAAACACAGTGGCAGGCAGAGACCAAATCCCACCTGGGACCATGAATAACTGACCAATGCATGACAAGGTGAAGGAGGCTATGAATCATTACCCTTGTCCTAGAAGGAACCAGCACTGAAGCCACACTAGAATTTGAGACTAGTGCCCAATTCCCCTATGTCAGTCTCCATCTAGACCCACTTGGGCTGACTGGCACTGATGCCTGCATGTCCAAGGCAAAGTCTTTGCATTAGTGCATGCCATGATGTGCCTTGAGCAAATGCACACTGTCACTGTAGCCCTTCAACTTTTTTTTTTTTTTTTTTTTTTAGCTCTTCTGGTCAGCATTGTCCTTGAGAAGGACAGCTAACAGCTGTAGTCACTAGAGCTGGAAAAGCTCAAAGGAATCAAAGGATTCATTTCTGATAGCTGAAAAAAATCCCAGCCAGCCTAATAGTTATATGTAAAAAGAACCATGCAGTGAGCCTGCAACTGCTCTAAAGAGCTTTACACAAAAAAAAATTCTTCAGAATCAGCTGTGAAATCTTCTAATAAGGCCAGTTTTGTTAGGAACTATTCTTATGTACCAATCAACTGCCTCAGTGGTCAACCCTCCAAGCAGCATTTTCTATGACACATTCTGACGTAAGAAATGAAAGGCAAAGTTTTTCAAAAACTGGGGCATAGGGTCCTGAGTACTCCCATTTTTTAGTGTTTCCCCCAGCATATCCCACTGAGCTGAAAAATATTTGGCCTTCTGCTTCTGAGCCTGAAAGAGGTTCAGATAAGATCCCTATCCAAAATTCAATTTAGCAAAATATATGTGTGAAACCACCATTCAGAGTTGCAGCCCCAATTTAGCAAAGTACTTAACTGTGCCTAATTTAAGGAGATAGGATTCATTCTGAAGAAAGATGGACTTATGTTAGTTTTGCTTAAAGCACATGCTTAAATGCTTTGCTGAAATGGCATGACAATGGGTTAACAGTGTCAAGATTCAAAAGAAGAAACATTCCCAGTATTCATTCCCAGCAACTATCACCTTTTATTTCATGCTGACTCATTTCTCTTCGCTTTTCCAGTTCTTTTCTATCATAATTCAACCTCTTTAAACACATGATTCCATATTGCAAGCTTGTTCTGTTATTTAAAAAGAAACATTTACAGAGTTAATAAAGATAATTTTGAAAATGGGAACATGTAGGATGTATTTCCTGCACTTCACATGAGGTGTTTCATAGTACCCGTGTACGAAATCTTGAGAACAGAGGGTAAAAAAACTCCACGGACTTCAGGAATGAAATGGAAAGAAACAAAATGAGTATGTTTGAATAACTGTTTCAGCATAAGAAACCCAAAGCATTAAAAGAAGTAAAAGATCTGAAAAGGTCAGCCCTTCTGAGCCATGAAATGTTTTGTCAAATCAGGCTTTTAAAAAGTGACAAATCAGACAGTATATTAAAAAGAAATCCACTTCTTGTCACATAAACCTCATTCTCCCTAAAGTTTAAATGCCTTTATTTCCATATTTCCAATTTAGCTTCCTAGCTATATCCCTAGGTAACCCAACAACTGTCAAATTGCTTGTATTGTTAACAGCTTTTATGTGCTACACACAATAGCTTTTCATTATTATGAGATCTCAGGGCTTTGAAGCTTAGCCTAGCACTTTCTGATACTTCACACCACTTAAATTATAACTGTTTCTGTATTGTCAAGAGTCTATTGATATATTAATGGTTCCCTGCTCATTACAAAATTTATCTGTACCAATATCTTGGTTTTTAGAGACATAATTGCAATGTGGTTGCTGTTACTAAAGGAATCTCTCGGAATTCAGATTTCTGACAGTCAGCCCTCTCTTTCCTGTATGTTTTTCCACACCAAAACAACAGAAATTGTTTTTATTCTGTGCAGCATTGAGCACTAGAGCAGACGCATAATCATTTTTATGGGTGTAGTCTTTCTGCCAACATACCGATGAAAACTATCCACCATTTTTAGGTGCACACGCAGATCTTTCTTTGTCAGGTGGTCTAACATCCTCGCATCTACCAGGCATTCCATGAAATAACTTCGGTACTGAGGCAAGCCCAGGCTGGGGAGCCATTCGTTACCTATCCATTCATGGTTCATATCACCATAAGCCAGGGTCTACAGAGAGAAGAAATGGAGAGGGAAAATAAATTCTTGAGTTTGTTCAAGACTGCACCACAGCCTGAAAACACAATATGTCTCAAAGAAAAAAAAATCATGTTTAAAAAAAATTTGTAATTCTGGTTTTGCTTTTTTTTAACACTGGAAGAGGGAGCCACTGTGAGATATTTCTTATGGATAGCAGTTTTGCCTGTTGTGTATTGTTTTCTTATGTAAGTTTTAAGGAATTTTTTTTCAGTTTTGAGCTTTAAATGCAAGCAGACTTGTTACACAATCAAAATATGTGTGTTCCATTTCAATCAGTCTTATAGAATATTTATGCCAGGCAAACCCTGAACTGGTAATACAAACATGACTCCAGGTAATCCACTAAGGCTTGTTTCTGTTTGTAGGGAGAAAAATTTCATAAATAGTCTGATAATACTTCATGGCTACACACCTGAAGTTTTTTAGAGACTAAAAGTTAATTTCCATTGTTTGGCACTCAAGTTTACATATAAATGAGATATTTTCAGCTGTGAACAGTTTAAACCTAAATCCATCATATGTAGAGCTCAAGAAATTAATCGAGGTAGGAGCAAACCAGGTTCCTCCCAGAAACTTGTACCCAGGTTTCATTGTTCAGCTAAAATTCCACTAGGGTGAGGAA